TTGCCATTGCTTCTACTAAACTTCCATTTGCAATACTGTTGTTCTGATTTCGGTTGAGCGTAACAGACGCTACCCTTGGTAACCACCGGAAGTTCTTTCGTTTGATAAGCGAAACAAGCAGTAGGAGACCTGGTTTTAGGGAGACCATTCGTGACGACGGCGGACGGACGATCCTAAGTTTGTCAAAAGACTTGGAGCGTTGTGCCGAGCACTGAAATGCAGTTTAACCAACTAGAGTTACCAGCTTCTCCTTCGGCTATTGTTCGCCATTCTTCTAGGGCTGTTCCCGTGGCCCTACCTTCAGGCGCAGAAGTCGAAAGTGCGATCAGGAAGTTAAAAGTCAATAACGGCGCAGGAACGGATAGAATCCCTCCAGCACTTTTCAAATTCGGCAGACCTGCTTCTGTAGATGATCTGCACAACTTACTTTTGAAGCTGTGGGAGCAGGAAACTCTTAACAGACTGGAACCATTCCAGAATAGTCTGAAATTTCCAGAGGAGCTCACATTCGGAATGTGGCAATCACAGAGAAAACGGTCGGATCTCAATTGCCTCTAAGCTACGTGCCCCTGTCTTTCCTCATAGACTTGCTGGCACACGAGAAAGCATGATTCGTGTGGAGCAAGTCGGATTTCGTCGCAGTCGCTGCGTTACTGATCATATCTTCAGATTGCGCCAATTGTTGGAGCACCACCATATTTATCATCGAGCCACTGTCAGTGTTCCTAAATAGTACATGGGCCTTCGATTACGTCGATGGATGTGCCTTTTTGGACTGCCTACACAGGGTGTCCCCGAAAAGTATGTAAACATTATCAGAGCGCCTTACTTGGGTCGTTCGGGCACAGGGAGGGCTTACGAGAAACAGTCGCCGACCTTCAATATCTCTAGCGGTGTGAGACTAGGATGCCCATCGTCAACTTTTCTTTTCAACTTCTCCATCGGCGAAGCCATGGAGACTGCATTCAACGGAAACGACCTGCAAGACGTGCAGCTGCTCCCAGGTGAAAGTCTGCTTGACTTGCAGTACGCCGACGACACTGCCCTTATCCATAACAGCATTCAAACGTGCCACGTACCATTTGACAAATTAGCATTGGCTGTCGGTCCTTTCGGGCTATGCTTTGCACCCCCGAAGTGCAAAGTCATCCAAGATTGGCAGGAACTCACCTCTGCGCTGACCGTTAGTGATGATCAGCTAGAAGTCGTCGAGAAATTCAAGTATCTAGGCAGCTATATCAGCGCCAATGGAACGGAAGATGAGATCACAAACCGCATAGCAAAACCTCGAGGCGCTTCCGCCGATCTCCACTTGTGACGCCAGCGCGACATCACTCTCGCCCTTAAGGGTAGACTTTATAATCCAACCGTCCGTTAAACCCTACTGTATGGTTGCGAAACCTGGCTCATCAAGTCGACAGACCTAGAAAGGCCAGTTAGGTTCGATCATCGCTGCCTTCGCATCTTGTCTGGTGGGAACACCGCGTAAGCAATGAGCGTGTCCGGCGTCGCGTATTTGGTGAGAGAAGAGTGTGAACCGCTCGGCACGGTTAATTCACGCACTAGGCTCCGATTGCTGGGCCATCTGTTTCGCATGCCAGCACACCAGATTCTGCGGCTTGTGTTACTTGCGCGCCGGGGGTCTAGATGGAAGAGGAGAGGAGGCCAAGCGATAACTTGATCAAGAGAAGTGAAGTCCCTCACTTTCGTCGGCTAGTGTGTCCCGGCTGTCTGGCTGGGGTCCGAAGGACGATGAGCACATCTGATTGTACACATTAGTTGACATGGCAAACAGCCGACCTCAGTGGTGTTCGGGTTGTGAGTTTCTTTGTCCCTGTCAATCCTGCTAATCTTCACTCTCCAAACACAATCCCTCACTTGACGCATAACATGATACACAATAGTGGGTTGCTTGTTTCTTTGTATTCTGGAATGTTCATTATATGGTTATTTCGTATGTTTAATCTTTGTGGATTACAGCATAATAACCAAAGTATGTTTCTCGCATTCATCTAATGCGTTATGATGACGATGATAGGTGGCTCTCCAGCAACACTTTGCATTTGTGGGCGTGAAACATACCAAATTAAAAAATAGAAAGATAATTCAGGGTTGGTTGCACCGGCCTGACTCCGTTAAATCACAAGACAATACCGTACGCATAATCAAGATCAACTGGCTTCTCCCCAGTCAGCACCTCAACCGCTGTATCGTGAGACTCCGTAAGGGAACACTCTATGATGGAGTCCAGGACGAAGTCGAACAAACATGGAAAAACTCGACAACCCTGACAAACGCCACTCGTTGTCGGAAAGATATCCGACAGGTCACCGTAAACCCTGACACGGCTTGTAGTGTTCCAGTAAAGAGCACGAAGAATGTTCACATATTTCCTGGAAACACGTTTCCGTGCAAAAAGTACG